GACCGAACCATCAAGGCTTCATTGACCATCAGAGGCTCGTTGCCAGAGATCACTCCCAAATGGGACTTGAAATAGATCAGGTGCTGAGTGGGGGAACCTTTCCCGTCGAACGGCGTGAAGTTGATCAGGTTGAATTTTACCGGGTACGGGATCGAATCCCACTCTTTCGGGTAAGGACACGGAATGCCGGTCTTCTTCATCTCTCGATCAGACATCAGGGCGTCAATTTTTCTTTCGAGATCCTTCATCTTTTCGGCCTCATCTATATCCTGTTTTGGACAATTTTCGAGAGGAATAATACGGTCACCCCCAGTGTTATCATCATTGGTGGGTCCACCCCCAGCGTCGTTATTTTTAGTGGGGCCACCCCCAATATTTTTTTCATCCACATCTGAATCGCTACCTGCTTGGTTAGCAGTGCTGCGACGGCTGGATTCACCTAGCTGATTCGACAAAGCTCGGCAACTAGCTGATTTGACAAAGCTCGGATTTGTTGGTCGTGCATTTGTCTCATCTCCTGCATAGCCATTTCCATTTCGATTTTGAATGCTTCTTTCTGCTTGGCTAGAGCATCCTCAATGATTTTGGCTATTTGCTCGGTGTTGATCATGAACACTTCTCGAGCTTGTCCTATGCTAGACGTTGTATCGTCGGAGGCGAGTGCGGAATAAGAATCTGAGAGTTCGTCATCGGAATGGATTCCTTCATGGATCCCTTGGTAATCGTTATATCCGACGGCTTCTAGCTGAAGCTGAGCTATTCCTGAATTGATTCTTCTTCCTGGAGAGAAATCAGGGTTGGAACCACTTGAAACAATCGGAGATTTTCCCTTATCAACCATATTGACGGTAACCTCTGGGAATTTATCATCTCGAGTAACCAATCTTCTTTGGTGGAAATGCCTTGATCTGGGCTTCGTCTTTCCATCGGAGATTCTCTCGAATACCGAGACCCTCTGCGAAGCGGTCTTGGGACAGCTACACGCTGACAATACTGCCCGGATAATTTTGGTACACGGACAGTGAGAGTCCGCTTCCCGGGTACTTCTCTTTCGAGATTTATTCGTACCCCCAGCCTGATAGTACAACTCATCGACGTTGCGGTCGGAGTAACCTATCGGTTGCTTACATGGATTCTCAGGTATAACGCGTTCGTCTTGTTGGCTTTTGCAAGAGTCGCACGTTTGGAATCACACCTTTGTGAGGGTGAAACCTTAACGGGCTCCTGATTTTCTGCATGTACCGCCAAGCGGGCCGTTGCAGAAATTAATTTGTTAGGAGGTCGCGTACGACCCCCAGTCTGGATGTTGGCTCGAAGCTCCTTCAACGATCTCCAGCTTTCCTTAACAAGCGCTTTTCCTCGATTCTCGGGTAGGGCACCGATACGATCTTTCAGAGGAATCCTAAACTTGGGGAAATCCGCGCTGAGGTAGGGCTTTACCGGAGGTTCGGGATCTGAAGTTGACGAAGGCCGGAGAGCAACGTCGCCTGCTTTTGCCTTAGGCACTGATTTGGCTTTTGGCACCCAAACTCGTCTGGATCTCGGCGATCTCTTAACTGCCTCTTCCTTTTGCATTTCTTGTGCTTTTCGCACAAGGGTCCGGGCATGCGCAAGCAAGGTGCGGCGCTTCTGGATTCGCTCCTCGAGAGTAGAGCAGGTTCTTTGGACACGAACCCATCCGTTAATTGGAGATCGAGAGGAGGATTCCGATGCTGGTCGTGGCAACAGATTAGCCACTTGGCGCTTTCTGAACTCCAGATCTGCTTGGTAATGGAGTCCCGAATTGGCGCGCGAGGCGTTGTCGTTTCCTTTGACGTGCTCTCTTTGATAGAGTTGGCGCGCCTTCAGTAGTCGACTCCTTAATCGTGAAGGAGCTCAGATCTGCAAACTTGGCTTCATTGAACGCCGGTGGATCATTGCAAGGTGCAACGGCAACAGCGGCGGAGAGATCGTCTTCTTGGATCTTCAGATCTGAAGACCAGCAGATCTTTCTGGAGGAGGAGGCACTCATGCGCTTGCCAGGAGAGGCGGATCTGGAGGAGGAGGAGGAAACGTACTCCTCGAACTTTTGCTGGTCGAATTCATATTCGACATCTTCGAGCACTGGGATCTTGATCGTCGGCTGCGGCACGACAGCTTCGGCAGCGAAGCTGTTGGCTCGATCCGCGAGGAGATCTAGAAACTTGAAGCGCCTATCTCGGATAAAGCGAGATATTTGCTCTTCTTAGTATTAACACAACGTGATAATACTAAGGATCGGGTACGGGTGATGTAGATCTGACGAAGAACTCTCTCTTGCGTTGAAGAACTGGATCCGATCTCTCCTCCTCCTCTCTGAAATCTGTGTACTTTTAAGTCTTCAATCCGGCAGGGCTTCGCTGAGGCACACAAATTCCAGATCTGAAAAAATGAGGCCTAAGGCTTGTATTTATAGGCATGAGGGATAACGGAGCGGTTAAAACGGACTACAGGGCCCAAATCCGCGTTGGGACACCCCTGGGGTGTCTCGGAATTTCCGAGACACCCTTGGGGTGTCTCGGAAAATCCGAGACACCCCTGGGGTGTCCTGGAAAATCCGAGACACCCCTGGGGTGTCTCACATTGGCCGAGACATTCCGTTGAGGTGCATTCGTCCGCTTCCGCTGTAAATTCTTCGTCCGAACTCGGATTTTAGTGATTCGAAGTGCGTTGGAAGTCTGACGAAGAGTTCTATCGGCTCCAATGGTTGGATTATCTGTAGAATGAACGAGACACGAAGGGTGTTGTTCTTTTTGTAACATCGCGGGGCTCTCGATTAGCCCGTGCCTTCGTTATCCCGAAATTCCGTCAGCTCACGTAGTTCGTCGGTTCACTTCAATCGTTCACCGACGTCAGTCGAACTCCTGTGAACCAGATAGTGACGTTCATTGTCGTTCCTTAACACTGAGCTGTTTGTGGAGACCTATAGGCAATTTTCGATGCCTACAATAAAATAACAGAAACTAAAAAATCTGGAAAAATAGCTGTTATGATGTCGTCGGTCGACTGATTAGTCGACTAATGAGCTGACCGTTACAGCGAACTGGCAGCTCATCGGTCGACTGAAGAACACGATCAGTCGACTGATGACCTCATCAGTCGACTGGTCAGTCGACTAGAACAAAACAGAAACTTTTGCTTATTCCAGACGATTTCTTTAGTCGATTGAACACATGTATCAGTCGACTGATAACACTTTATCATCCTGTTTTAAATAGTAAAACCGATTTTTAAACTCCTTTTAAAAATAGTAAATAAAATAAAAAATATATAAAACTTTGGGAAATGATTGTAAACATGAAAATGAACATGTTACAAAAACTAGTTTTTAAAAAGCACCTCCAATTTATAAAATATCATCATTTTGCAAATATGCCCAAAACATGAAAACATGTGATACTTGAATTTTGATGTTTTGACATAAACCAAGTTTTGAAACTATTGTATGGATTTATAGACTTGATAAAAGGTATAACTTATTGTTCTAAAGTCTATAAACCAAAAACTCAATATTATGCAAAAATGAAGTTTTGCACAATATGCATTTTATAAAATGATAAATATGAAATATGTATATATATATATAAACAAAAGTATATGTTTCATATTTATATAAACTTGTAAACTACAAAACCAAAAACGTGTGTGTATATAACCAAAACTTGTATGTGTGTGTATGTGATTGAGCTTAAAGTACTAATACACATAATATAAAAACCTAAACTAAATTACCCTAACTTGATTGATCTTCAATAAGCTCTTCTTGGTAAACTTACGAATGAAGCTTGAACTTGGATCTTGAACTTGAATTGCATTGCTTCATATCTATATTCCTTCCATCCTCCAAATGATATGATCGTGAAAGCTCTAGTCCATCCATCCTCCAACACATTGTTTGTCTACAATAGATAAGAAAACACAAACACTTGACAAACAATATTAGTTATAAATTGTTTGTAATAACATCATCAAAACAAAAAGGCCAACAGAATCTTCCTCTACGTACCCAATGCAAAACCCTAGATCTGAAACCCTAGAGCTCCGATACCAATTGTTGTGTGCCGTACGAAAGCGTGCTCGACAACTAAACGAGTCCGCGAGCGATGAGAGAAGAGAACCAAAATCAAATACGAGTGCAATTTACCAAAATATGACACAAATCAAACCAAACAGAGATTTACGTAGTTCGGCAATTATCTATGTCCACAGGGAGAGGATGGGGAGATTTTACTATATGAAGGAGAAATACAACGGGTTACAACTCACAAAATCACTCGAATATAACCCTAACCAAAGCTCTCAACTCTCTCACAATATCTCCATCTCAAAACGCTCAAAAGACTCACAATTCTCTCCTTAAGAAACCCTAAAAATGTGTGTTTCTATTTATATCAAAACTCAATCCAAAACAAGCCAGGAAACCTAATTCAGCCCGTATCCGTTTTCAACCGAACTCATGCCATCGGTCGACCGGCCATAAGCATGGTTTTCAACCCTGTAATTTGCATGTTGTCGGTCGACCGCATGAGCATGGTCGGTCGACCGACCAGAAGCATGATTGTTTCCTTATTTCTGGCGATTGCGTCGGTCAACCGGCCTTGCTCCTTCGGTCGACCGACCCGAGGATCCCTGTAGCTGCTTCTCAGCTTCAATTTTCCTGATTTTGCCCGCATTTTCTACACATACAACATCAACATTTTTCTTCTTAGTGCATCTATATGAGTACGGATACGAACAAATTTATGAGTGGGGCAACAAATAATCCCATATTGAAGCATTTACTTTGGTAATGAAACCCCACGCAGTGCAATTAATATATACGCATCTAACACAATTCGATCATCTTATCATCCCATATCGAAGCATTTACTTTGGTAAAGAAACCCCACGCTGTGCAATTAATATATACGCATCTAACACAACTCGATCATCTTATCCTCTAGTCTAGTCCCATAACGTGTCACAATCTCTGGATATCCGTATATTAAATAACCATCCATTCATAATTCATAATTAAATGCTTCAAGTTTTTTGTTACAATCTGAATAAAGGAAGAAAAAAAAAACGAAAAAAAAGGAGAAATAAAAATAGAAAAATAGAAGAAACCAAGTATATGGTCAGAACATGTTTCTCTCCCTCTTTCTTTTTGATTTTAAGATCAACTCCAATTCAAACAGGTTTTAGTCCATGCTTTAGTGCCGCTCTCCACACGATATCGATTCGATCAACGTCGATGGCTCCGACTTCGTGGTGAGTCCACCCCTCCAAGCTATGGACCACGCCTCCGGCATGACAAGCGTGTACCACACCTCGGTCCAATTTATACTGTTATACGGAACGTGGTATCAGAACAAGTTATACAAAATCGCGAAAAATTTCACAAAAGAGCTATTCTAAATTATTGTTTTTAAAGAGAACTACCGTAAATTTATCACAAAGCTTTCAATACCCATGTTGCCGCTAGTGACTTGTGAATGAAAGTTACCACAATTTTTTTTTTTTTTTGATATTTTCGTCTGTATTCAGACTTAACACATGCAAAAAATAAAAATAAAAATAAAATAAGTAAATAAATAAATTTGCTGATCACCTCACACATGCCAAGTCCTTGCACATCTTTGGGAAGTCTCATCGCAGCCAACTTCCCGTACGTGCAGTCCCTTCTGAAACTAATGATTGGAGGAACCACGAATTGGTGGAAGTGAGTTCCTCGAGGAGCCCACCTTTGCTCTCTCGGTGTGAGCCACTTACCCACGATCCATGTCTGCAGTCAAACACCGTGAGACAAATTATGAGTTGCCACGGTCTCCACCACTTCTACGTGTCTTGTAATACAAAAATAGTACAACTCTTACAATACACGTTGATAATACCTTGCAATTTTGTGCCGCTTGATACTTTGTGACTTGAACTAGGTACTGTTGAAACTCTACAGGAGCTTCTTTCTGGATTTTAAGAAACCTCTCTGTTGACAGGGTCAGCATCTACACAACACAACACAACAATATAAATACGAACCGATGAGCTTACAGTCAACCAAGATCACGATAATGATAATGCGTCCGATGGTTCCGATGACTTTAAAGCTCACCATTACTCGGATCTTCTTTCTGCATAGGTACAACGCGATGGCTCTCCCAAGCTTAGACGTAGCACCGGTGAGAAACACTTCACCGACGTTTGGAGGGATTTCATTCAAGATCACCGCAGCGGTTAACGTATTACCATGGACCACTCGAACTTTGAGGTTGGGGTGTTTGTTGACGAACAACGTGCCTCCACCGTTGAGCGCTTCATTCTGCATAAGCAATTTAATTAATTCTCGAATCAAAATCTTTAGAAAATTCGTCGATATATTCTCACAGATGCATGTTTGTATGCATCTGATGAACTTTTTATATATTAATGATGATGAGATGATAACACGGTTAGGGACTAAATTTACCTTGTTCAGTGCGGCCAGGCTGAGGACCTTGATGCCCATCTTGTCCGCCCTCAAGATAGCGAGCTCGATCTGATCGTTGATCCCATCCTTAGCAAAAGGCAGAAAATACTGCAAAAAAAAAAAAAAAAGTTGCATCAATATGCATTTTGTTAGTATCTGTTATACTCTTTGACGGTCGCTAATGATCCTGAGACTAATAAATTAACGAAGTTGCACCTGAAATCCGTATCTCGGAACCAGCCAAGTCTGGTGAAGTCGACCTCTTATGTTGTAGAACGAAAGCAGGAAAGTCTTCGAAAATGCCCACATGAAGAGCATGATAATAAAAGCACCAGGCCATAGAAGCAATATCCACAACCTCACCGAGAACGGAGACGAGCTAAAAGATCGAAGAATGAAGGGCGAGTGAAGAGAGAAGGCTACGTCCACAACATGGGCGAGGAAGACGAACGCAGGAACTTGATCATCTTTGGCTGCGACGAAACAAACAGTTTATAATTTATTATGTTTTAATGTGATGCACATGTTAATAGTAATCAGGCCAGGTTTAGTTTTTTTTTTAATTAAATAATTTACAATATGACTGTTTTAGCAAATCTTACCAATTAATGTAGCATGATGGAAATTATTTATGAAGGGCTAGTTTATCTAACCACAAAAGGGATCAATAATTGGAAAGTCATTGGTCAAACAACTAGCAAGTTTTAAATTTGAACGTGAGTGTTGTTCTATGAGATTAATTGCTAAATATTGCAAGCAATTAATCACCCATCTGATGTTGATATTTGGACCCACGTGGCTTTTCTAACATCAGGTGACCCACGTCTCCTTTGAAGGATATGTACATGCTACCAAGCTACCTTGCGTTAATATAATATGAACAGCCTTCATTAATTCCTAACCAAGTTTGGTCTTCAGATTCATCAACTTTATTCACATGTATCATAATAATTCTCTTTTTATTGAAGCTGTAATTTCAATTTCAGCTTTGCTGCTAAAAAAATTTCGAGTGTTGGAATGGAATTTTAAGTCACAAAAATAAAATAATGCTTGTTGTGTCAGAAGTGCATTTTTCCAGATAATTATCAGACAATTTAAAATGCAGCCTAATATATTATCAGATAATTTTAATTAATACCTGAGCTTATTTCCTTCTGTAATTCCCATGACCTGTCATTGAGTGTCCCTCCCAGTAGATCGAAAAGGGGCATAAAAAGGCAGAAATTGGAGTTCTTCTCTGTATGGTGAAGGCTATGGTAACTGCACATCAATTTAAAAAAAAAATACGTTTATTTATTGGACAAAAGTAAATGGTGTCATAAGATCTGGATGAATAGTGAACTCCATAAATATATTTGTAACTTAGACTACGAGGTTGGTTGAGGTCTGGTGAGCTGAAATTATTTGGGAGTCCCAACTGTTAAAATTGAATATTGATAACAAGATAAATATTTTAATGCCTCTTATAGCCCAGGACTAACATAGATAAAGATAATATTACCTTGATCACATATATATTGTAATTTGCTTTCGTTCATCCTTGGCACGGTCAAAAATAGAGAGGGTAATATGTAGATGGTCAAACTAAGCTAATCTAGAAAGAAACGCATTATCATAGTTAAATACTCCCATTTCATGGCTAACTGCCTTAAGAAATAAAATTATTTTTTTGTATACGTGTTACCTCCAAAGAGATGCCTCCTCGTATTTGGACTTAGCGTAAACTTAGCTTCTCGTGAGTAATCAACTATAAAGACTAATTAACTTGATGTTATAGATAAACTAATTAAATGATTTTAAAATGATGTGAAAGACAAAAGAAGAATAAAAATGGTGCAGCTTGCTTTAGATTCACCCCCTTAGCATGTGAAAAAATAGAGAATACCTAGATGGCCAAACTAAACTAACCATATCAAGAAACTCAAATGCTTAATTATCAATACTAGTTATGTTTAAGATTATGTATCATATTATTACCCATGGTGAAGGAGACTCCTTTTGCCATCTACACATACTTAACGTACACTTATATCACTTGATATCCAACTAAGCGTAATGACCACTTAACCTACTTAGCGTACACTTATATTGCTCGGTATCCAACTAAGCGTAATGGCTACTTAACCTCAATTCTCTAAGAAATTAACACCAGATATAGCCTGACTGTATCTGCAAATAGTTATATAAGCATGTCTTCATGCATGCATGTATGTATGTATATGTATATGACCGGTCACTTACGTTGGAGTGTAGACGATATATCGAAGAAATGGGAAGGCATGGAAGATTCTATGTGGGAAGACCTCAACGTTGCTATGTCCCAGGCACCTCATGAAATCAAAGAACAGAATGTATCCATAAACCAACCCCATGGACCCAAACCCCATCAAGTTGGCTCCTACGACGGGCGCACCCATCACTATACTCATGACTAGGTGCTCCAAAGGAGTCCCAAATCCAGCTGCACAAGTTACATCATGTACAGGTCAGTTACAAAATACATCTCTTCGATCTTTTACAGAAATTATACGGCATGCGCGCATTAATAATATATCAAAGAAATATCAATTAGTCATCGGATCAATTTGTATACTGATCCAGCCACGGACAGAACAATTTTGGTTGACTTACCCGTGAAAGATTGAAGAACTTTAGAAGAATGGTGGGTTGAATGGTACTTCTCAAAGAGTGGGCCTCTGTGGAGCAATCTGTGGGCACAGTAGAACAGTGGCTCAGAAACGCTCACATGAAGAAGTGCAGCCATGATCAAGCCCCTAAAATCCCATATCGGGAGGTTAATGAGAGATGGGAACATGTAGAAGAGTGCTGCTCCCATGAATACTTGCAGAATAAGGAAATTATCCCTGTTACAAAAAAATAAATAAAAAAGCATAATTACTAGGAGGAAAATACATGGAAATTAAAATTTTAGAATTTTCTTTATTAGACCCTCGAAATCGGATTTGAACACATACCAATCCCACTCCTTATCGATCTGCTCGAAGTCAACACCGTCCTTGATGATTCTTCGCCTTCGCGTGAGGAAAAGCATGCTGCTAAAAGAGAACCACGCTTGGTGAATGAAGCCTCTGAGGAGTGAGAGTGCAAGGAGGTGAAGACACCATGACGAGGACTCCACAGAAATGCCACGATCGACATTGTACCGGGAGTAGAGAACCTTGGCTACTAGAGGCCCGTACAGTAGATACTGAGCAAACACAGAATACAGGTGTCATCAGAAAATTAACTTACATTAGTTTGTGAATTAATGAAAGAAGATGAACGAGGGAAATTAAGTTTATATATTTACCTTGCAACTGCCTAAGTTGCTCCATGGCCATGATGCTAAGGGAGCAACCATTGTTTCTACAGTGAGATATATAGAAAGAGAGGCTTGAGAAATCTAGAGAAGAGAGAGAGAGAGAGAGAGAGAGAGAGAGAGAGAGATTTGGTGGTTTGCTAGTTAATATGTATATGACCCCTGCAGGGCTCAAGCTCGTAGGGGATGTGAGAATAAGAGAGGCAACACTACCATGTATATATATAAACAGAGAAAAAGGGGGAGGAGTTAAAGAGATGCTCGGAAAGAGTTCAAAGAGTCAAGACAACCAAAAGAGAGAGAGAGAGAAATGGATAGTTGGGGAAATCATCAATTCAATGAGCTGGGTATAAATAAAGATGGGTGGCAGTATGATCCATCTTTTGTTGAAGAAATAGTCAAAAGCTTCTCATTCATTCATCAGTTTTTTATTTCAATTTATTTGCATGTGAGAAGGTCTCGTACTTCTCTTTTAATTTGTTGATGATTTTGACCTTTTTAAAATCCCTATTAATCCTATGTTGTTCAGCTGCCACCATATGACTCGTAATGTGCGTTGGAGCGCCATGAGGATCGATGGAGGGCATTCGGGTCTTGATCTTGTGATTTTATTATGATTTTGCTGTCGTTAACAACTTTATGAGACGTGAGATTTTCATTGTAATATCAAAGAAAACTTAATAATTTATGGGTCCATGAGGGCATTTAAATTCCAGTGCTCTCTTTCTTAATTAGTGACAGGTTTCATTTATGTTCAATACAAGAAATGGATTTGTTGATACATATAACACTAATTTGTTAGCCTTGCTAGCTATGAGAGAGATCACAAGTTCAAGATGGTCTTACGTACATGGAGTTCCTTCATTTACCGGTTGCAACAATATTGCTATATGAAAAAAATTTGATATACAGCCCTAAATATATGTACAAGGGCATTTGGTAAGTATTAACGCAACGCGGAAGTAATAAACCTCGGAATCCACCAAGGAACGTTCTTTGAATCCACAAAGAACAATCTCCGAATCCACGAAGGAAATATAATAAGAGAAATTCTATTGATACAATTTATGCCTCTAGAGCTCACAATACTATATTTAAATACAAAATAAACAAGACTCCTACTGTGACCCGAACTTTGCCAAAAATAGTAATGACAAAACTCTCCTGAAAAGAATCTATGATTAGGGAAGTAAATCGATTAAATTTAGAGTCAGACCGGATTTGCTTCCTAATCAAAACAGACTCCTAAAACATTACATAAAATAATAAAAACTGACAAAAACTCTGAAATCTCTCAATCCGGAGGGAATTTGGTGATACAGACGGTAGCAAACCGAACAACGATGGGTTTGGTTGACTCGGTCTCGAAAAAATACGAGATTTACATATATAATTCGTCAAATTCCGACGTACAATTTTAGAGATATAACTCGTTCTTTGTTGCAAATTATTTTTGGCTGGGCCTGCGTTTAGGCTTTTGACGGTCCCGTTTCTCCATAAATATATCCGCAATGTGTTCTACATCAAGTATATATGTATTAATTTAACCCTATATGTTTTTGGGGTTTTTTTTTCTTGGTGTGTGAAACATAGAGCAGCTTGTAGAAAGATTTGAAGAAATCTCCTAATATTTCCTCTCAGAGAGAGAGAAGGCCACGACTAGGATCGAGATTGAAAAGGTTTGACGAAGATCTAGTCGATTACTATCAAGGGCGTACGTATAAATGTATAATTAACTAGCTCGGAGTGAAGCTCGTTAAAAATTCCATGCCTTTGGTTTGATTTTTTTTTTTTTTTTGCCCCCCATTTTCTTGTTAATTCTTTATCTTCCATCGTACATATTTGCAAACAACATTAATTGTTTAGTCGGTTAGCGTTGTCGATCCCCAGACGCAAGTGTCTCCAACACCCTACATACCTTAAACAATCCCTTACTTACTTAAACTTGGAGGTGACCTAAACCCCTCTCAAAATCTTTGATAAATCTTCTTGTCTTTAAAAAGAAAAAGATTAAATACTAATATTTTTGCATGTGAGAAATAGGCAACCGATTTCTTTGTTGTTCTTCCCTCCTTTTCTGTACGTGGTCCTGCTTAATTAATTAGCTTTTAAAAGGGAACGAGGTAACAGTTATCTCTCTCTCTCCATCACTTGTAAAGATAACACCGATAGTGCTTAACACTAGCCCAAGACCGTAATACCCAAGAAACCCGAAAGAAACCAAGAGAATAAACTTCTAAGTATGAAGAAGAATATAAAGAACACTTAGAGAACACTTGAAAGACTTTTAGAGAAATGTAGAGAACTTATGAAGAGGAAGACTCTTTATTTGAACTTGCTTTATTCATTTGTTCAACTTTTTCTTCTTGCTTACAAATGAGAGAGGTGAGGAGGTATTTATAGCCTCCCAAAGATATGTTACAAAGGATCTAGATTCTTCTAATATCACATCCATAGTTCCTAGATATTTTTCTAATCTCTAGAAATTTCTACATACTATCTAAATATTTTTATCACAAATTATCTAGATGTTTCTATACTATTATCTAGATATTTAGCTTAAAGATTTCTCTAGAACACTTTAAGGAGGTGATCAACCTTCTAGAGTGTTTCTAGAAAACCTCTAGAATTTGGACCTAATTTTGGGTTTGGTCAAACTTAGAATAATTCCATCATAAACCCAAAATTAAGCTTGATCCAAAATCAAGTTTAATTTCAATACTCCCCCTTAAACTTGATTTTGTCAACCATCCCGAGCTTCGAGCGAAGTAACTCAAATTGGCCCTTTGGTAGTGACTTGGTGAAGATATCTGCAACGTTGTCTTCGCTTCGAACCTCCAAAGCTTCAATTGTTCCATCAAGCACCTTCTCCCGTATGAAATGATGTTCTAACTCGATATGCTTCGTCCTTGCATGAAACACCGGATTATTAGCCAACTTGATAGCACTTTGATTATCTCCATAAATTGCAACCGGCTTATTGATTGGCTCCAACAAATCTTCAAGGAGTCTTCGAAGCCATATACACTCTTGAGCTGCGAGTGTTGAAGCTTTATACTCCGCTTCAGTGGTAGACAATGACACCGTTGCTTGCTTCTTGCTGCACCACGAAACACTTGTGTCTCCACATAAGAACACATACCCTGAAGTTGATTTTCGATCATCTAGATCTCCACCAAAGTCAGCATCCGTGAAACCATGAAGAGAAACCTTGGCATTGTACTTGTACATCAGACCCATGCCAAGAGTTGTCTTTACATACTTCAAAATCTTCTTTGCCGCTTCTAGATGTGGCTTCCTTGGTTCTTGCATAAACCGACTTACGAGACCCACCGCGAAGGCAAGGTCAGGTCTTGTAATGGTTAAGTATAGAAGACTTCCTACAAGAGAGCGATAAGGTCGAGGATCAGGTAGCAAGGACCCTTCATCGCGTTTAAGCTTTATGTTCACGTCCATCGGAGTAGTACGTGTCTTCCCTTCGTGTACTCCGAACCTTTCAACAATCCTTCTTGCGTAGCTTTGTTGGCCGACAAATATTCCATCCTTTACCCTTTCGACCTCCAAACCAAGAAAATTGTTCAACTCACCCAACTTCTTCATCTCAAACCTCACCGACATATCCTCTTGTAGACGAGCAATTTCAGCATCATCATTCCCGGTGATGATCATATCATCCACATAAAGAAGAACCACTACGTGGACTCCTCCATTCTTCTTGAAGAATAGACTCGGATCAGAATTTGATGGCACATACCCGCAAAACTGAAGGAATTGAGCAACCTTTCCATACCAAGCTCGAGGAGCTTGTTTTAACCCGTACAAAGACTTTTTAAGCTTGCAGACATAATCAGGATGCTCTCGTGACTTGAAACCAAGCGGTTGCTCCATGAAGATTTCCTTATCAAGCTCTCCTTATAGAAAAGCATTTTTCACATCTAGTTGCCATAACTTCCAACCAAAGCTTGCGTCTAAAGATAAAAGTGAGTGTACCGTAGTCATCTTTGCCACTGGACTGAAAGTTTCATCATAATCTTCTCCATATTTTTGAGAGAACCCTCGAGCAACCAACCTTGCCTTAAATCTGTCAATGCCCCCATCCGTTTTTCGCTTAATTCGGTACACCCATTTACAAGAAACGGGTTGGACATCCTTGGGTTTTGCCCCATCCGTTTTTCGCTTAATTCGGTACACCCATTTACAAGAAACGGGTTGGACATCCTTGGGTTTTGAAACCAAATCCTAAGTTTCGTTCTTCATGAGAGCATTCATCTCCTCCTTCATTGCGCCCTCCCACTCTTGAACTCTTTTTGCTTCATCATACGATGATGGCTCCTCTTCATCTAATGGAGCTGCAAAGTAGCATGAGTAAGTAGTGACAAACCTTTCATCTCTGAACCGAGCAGGCTTAACAATGTTCCTTTTTGGCCATTGATTAGCCATGGAACTATGATCTTCTTCCTCATCTTCCTCTTGATCAGTGCTCCCACTTTCACCTTGCGTCTCTTCTTCAAGACTTCCGCTTTCACTTGGCATTTGAACAACCGGTTCATCGATCTTGGAGGAACCCCCACCTTCTTGTTCGACCAAGACTTGAGGTGGCCCATAAAATGAGGAAACTTCATCAAAGACAACATCATGAGACACGGTGTACTTGTGTGTCTCTGGATCCATACACCTCCAGCCCTTCCTTTGTTCATCATAGTCGACAAAGATGCATTTCTTCGCCTTTGCCTCCAACTTGGTTCTTTGAGAGTCAAACACGTGGACGTAGCAGATTGATCCAAATATCCTGAGATGTTTCACCGTTGGCTTCTTCCCATGAACCATCTCATAAGGAGACTTCATATTGTTCGGACTAAGTGGCATCCGGTTGATGACATACGCTGCACATCTCATGCCTTCCGCCCATAAGGCCTTAGGCAAATTTTTGTCATGTAACCAGCTTCTACATGTCTCGCTTAGATGTCTTATCTTCCTTTCCGCTACTCCATTTTGCTGAGCTGTATACGGACATGTAAATTCTCTCTTGATACCATGTTTTTGGCAAAAAGAGAGAAACTCCTTTGACATGAACTCCCCTCTATTATCCGTCCTTAAAGTCTTGATCTTCTGACCTAATTTTCCCTCCACGGTAACCTTGAATTCTTGAAACTTGGAGAATACTTCTGATTTTTTCTTCACAAAGTATACCTCCCTCCACGGTAACCTTGAATTCTTGAAACTTGGAGAATACTTCTGATTTTTTCTTCACAAAGTATACCCAAGTGTACCGTGAGAAGTCATCAACATCTGATTTTTTCTTCACAAAGTATACCCAAGTGTACCGTGAGAAGTCATCAACAAACAGTAACATGTACTGAAACCCAGAATAGGAGGATGTTCTCGTCAGACCCATCAAATCACTATGGACCCTCTCCAACGGAGCGTTGCATCGTGAAGTGGAGTTGTCAAATGGAAGCTTATGTGACTTTCCATATTGACAGCCTTCACAAAGCTTTCCTTCATCATGAATCTTCAACTTTAGGAGCCCGTTAACCAAATCCTTATTCACTATAACCTTTAGCTTAGTCATATTTATATGACCAAGCCTAGCATGCTATATAAAGGCATTATCATTCGTACTCATCTTCTCAACATAAGAATTTGAGGCCGATAAAACATATAAATTCCTAACCCGTGCTCCGGTGAGAACCACATTCGCTTTTAATTCTTTAATATTCTTTAAGAATTTAACGTCTCTTGGGCCAAATAAAACGTAGTTACCTGAGTCAACCGCATTCACCACAGAGAGAAGATTCTTCCTTACTCCAGGAACATGATATACGTTCTTGAGAGTGATTGGGCTTCCATCATCTCCTTCAATAACAACTGTCCCTTCCTTCTCAACGCGGTGGATTGAATTATCCGCAGTAATGATGGCTTCTTTTCCGTCATGACGCTGAAGACTAGAAAATAACTTCTCGTCTCCGGTAATATGATGGCTACAATCAGAATCCACAATCCAATCATTTCCAAGATTTTTAGCTGTGGATGTACCTGAAGATGCAGCCTCCACCGTGAAATATTTTCCTCATTCTTTGTCTTCAGTATGACCCTTTGATTCCGCCATATTTGTTTCCTTCGGCTTGACTCAACAATCCTTTTTGAAATGCCCAAGTTTTCCACACCGATAACACTTGAATCGCTTCTTGTCTCCCGTAGAAGATCCTTCTCGTCCATCATTATTCTTCACTTTACCATATTTGGGTTTGGCTCTGAAGCTTTGTTGTCTCCCCGCTACAAAAGCGCTCCCTGAGTCATCATGGACTTTAACTCCCGCCATTTGCATGGCTAGTGATTCTTACGAAGATAGTAGATTTTTAAACTCCTCCAAGGAAGGTTGTGTAGCCCATCCTTGAACTGAAGCAATAAACGGTGTATATTCGGGTCGTGGACCATGAATAATAGACCGCTTCAACCGTGCTTCCGAAATCGGCTCCTCCAGATTGAGAGTATTAATCTCAGAGCAAAGATTTTTTACCTTGATGAAAAACTCTGAGATTGAAGACTCCCCCTGCTTCGCATTCGCCAACTCGTTCTCTAACAGTTGTAGACGAGCCTCGTTCTTCTTGTTGAACAATTGATCTAGTGCCTGCCAAATAGCACTTGCGGATGTACATCTTGAGACATGCTCAAATAGTCCTGAAGATATTGACCTCTTCAAAGCAAACTCCGCCTTGGCATTCTTCCGTGTCCACTCCTTTGTCGCTTCCGCTGTTGCAGCATCTCCCCTTGGTGGTGTTGTGCTGCTACCGCCGACGACATCCCATAAGTCCTCACTAACCAATTATGACTCCATACATGACTTCCATAATCGGTAGTTAGATTGGTTTAAGATCTCCATTCCCAATCCAACGACACGACCCATTGATTCCATACTTAGAGTAAACCCGAGCTCTCTTTAAACCCCGATCTTGAAGAGCACAAGATTAGAATGGCTCTGATACCATGTAAAGATAACACCGATAGTGCTTAGCACTAGCCCAAGACCATAATACCCGAGAAACCCGAAAGAAACCAAGAGAATAAACCTCTAAGTATGAAGAAGAATATGAAGAACACTTAGAGAACACTTGAAAGACTTTTAGAGAAATGTAGAGAACTTATGAAGAGGATGACTCTTTATTTGAACTTGCTTTATTCACTTGTTCAACTTTTTCTTCTTACTTACAAATGAGAGAGGTGAGGAGGTATTTATAGCCTCCCAAAGATATGTTACAAAGGATCTAGATTCTTCTAATATCACCTCCATAGTTCCTAGATATTTTTCTAATCTCTAGAAATTTCTACATAATATCTAAATATTTTTATCACAAATTATCTAGATGTTTCTATACTATTATCTAGATATTTAGCTTAAATATTTCTCTAGAACACTTTAAGGAGGTGATCAACCTTCTAGAGTGTTTCTAGAAAACCTCTAGAATTTGGACCTAATTTTGGGTTTGGTCAAACTTAGAATAATTCCATCATAAACCCAAAATTAAGCTTGATCCAAAATCAAGTTTAATTTCAATATCAGCACCCTCAAGTGATCGACTTCTCATCAAAATGAGCCCAAAATCAATTAATCATTGAGATTTGGGAGTGTCTCGACCTCAAAATTGTTAAAGTAAGAGAGAGAGAGAGAATCTTGGGTAAATTTCCCTTGAATTGAATATTGAGTGTGCACATATATTTATACAAGTAGAGGAGTGTGAGGTTTGTTCTCCCAAGCAATGTGGGACTAAAACCCACTACAATACACTATTATCAACAGCCCCCTTCAAACTCATGTTGGATCAAACAAAGTGAGTTTGCGTACAAGAAACTGGAACCGATGAACAGGTAAGGCCTTTGTGAAGAAATCTGCAAGCTCGTCAGCGGATGAAACATGAGGAAGTAGAATTGTCTTGTCCTTGATAACTTGGTGACGGACAAAATGAGCGTCGATCTCAATATGTTTGGTCCTTTCATGAAATACTGGATTATTAGCAATCTGGATGGCACTCTTATTATCACAGTAGAGAGGAGTAGGAGTCGTAACAGAAATACCGAAATCACTGAGAAGGCGACGAAGATGAATAATCTCTTTAGCTGTTGTGGACATTGCACGATACTCTGCCTCAGTACTGGAAAGAGCAATAACATCTTGTTTCTTACTTCGCCAGGAAATAAGGGAATCACCAAGAAATATACAATAACCTGTGGTAGACTTTCTGGTAGTTGGATCACCAGCCCAATCAGCATCAGAATATGCACAAAGCTCTAACTTAGATGTAGCAGAAAACAAAAGTGAGCGAGTGCTAGTACCCCGGAGGTACCGAAGAATCCGTAATAAGACAGCATAGTGTACAGAACGTGGGGCACTAACAAATTGACTGACAATACCAACAGCATGAGAGATATCTGGTCGAGAGATGCACAAATAGACCAACTGACCAACAAGATGTCGATATCGGGTAGGATCAGATAGAGGCTCACCGTCAGTAGAGCAAAGTTTGACATTCTGCTGGAGTGGAGTATCGACAGTTGTATTATCAGTTAACTCAGCTTGATTTAGAATATCTGAGAGATACTTCTGTTGAGACAGTAATACACCCCGCGGGCCTTGAGAAATTTCTAGACCAAGGAAATACCGAAGAGATCCAAGATCCTTCATGTGGAACTGTTGTTGCAACTGAGATTTTGCGTATTGTATACCTGTCATATCATCACCTGTAATGATCATATCATCTACATAGATGAGTAATAAAACCCTGCCACGCGATGTAGTGCGAACAAACAGAGAAGCATCTTGATGACTTTCTATAAAGCCCGCTTTGAGCACAACATCGCGAAAACACTCAAACCAAGCGCGGGGTGCCTGTTTGAGACCATAAACAGCACGACGAAGGAGACATACATGTCCCGGAGGAATATTTGACCCTGGAGGCGGTTGCATATATACGGTCTCTGATAAAGAGCCATGAAGAAAAGCATTTTTGACATCCATCTGGTATAAGGGCCAACGATGAGCAGCAGCGACCGCAAGGAGAGTACGCACAGTGGGCATCTGAGCAACAGGAGCAAAGGTCTCCTCATAATCAATACCTTGTTGCTGAGTAAAACCTCTAGCCACTAAACGAGCTTTTCGACGTTCAATGGTGCCATCAGGACGAAACTTGACCTTATAAACCCATTTACTGCCAACAAGAGAGATCCCAGGAGGACAGGGAACAATATCCCAGGTATGAGTTTGCTGAAATGCTTGAAATTCCTCAGCCATAGCTTGTCGCCACTCTGGAATTTGAACTGCCTCTTGGAAGGACTTTGGCTCAACAATAGTATGAATGGCAGCAAGAAAGTTATGAAAGATAGGTGAATAAGAAGTAACAGAAGCATACCGGGCAGGCATGACATGTGGGCGTTTGCCTCGACGAAGAGCAAGAGGAACCTCAGGCGGGGGAGATGCTGGCGCAGGTGCATGAAGATCAACAGTATTTTCTGGAGTGAGAGTTGTGTCCACAGGATATGGATTAGATGGTGTAAGAGAAGACTCAGGTGAGGAAGAGTCAACAGAAGGAGAGGGAGAGATGTCAGGGAGATCTCGAAAGGAAAATTGAGGTGAAGAAGTGGGTGATGCAGTGGACGGGGAAGCATGATCGGTAGAGTGGAGGAAATTAAAGTCATCAGAAGTAGAATAATATGGAGAATCCTCTTCGAACTGAACATGACGAGATATATGAACTCGACGAGTTGCGGGATCATAACAACGATAACCTCGATGTTCTGAACTAATTCCTAAATAAACACAAGAAACTGCTCTGGGAGACAATTTATCACGTTCGTGAGATGGCAGAAAAACAAAACATCGACAACCAAAAACGCGAACTAGATCATAACGGGGAGGATGAGTATAAACACGACTATAAGGAGTAGCACCGGAAAGAGAGCTAGATGGAGTGATATTAATGGCATGAGTCGCGGTGAGAATAGCCTCAGCCCAGAAACGACGAGGAACAGAGTAAGAAATGAGCATTGATCGGGCAGTATCGAGGATATGACGATGTTTGCGTTCAGCAACACCATTTTGCTCATGAGTGTAGGGACATGACTGTTGAAAGATAGTCCCATGAGAGGACATGATAGAGCGCATGGCAGAGGATAGGTACTCTTTGGCACAATCAGAACGAAAAACTTTAATACGAGATTGCCATTGAGTGAAAATCATAGCAGTGAAGGCTTGATAAGCAGTAAGTACGTCAGAGCGATTCTTAAGTAGGTAAACCCATGTAAAACGAGAGAAATCGTCGATAAAACTAACATAATATAAGTAGCCAGATGAAGAAGGCAAAGGAGCTGGCCCCCAAATATCAGAATGTACTAAATCAAATAAGGAAGTGGATACAGATGTACTCATTTTAAATGGTAAAGCAGTGAATTTAGCCAATTTGCAACCAGCACATGACTCAATACTAGAACTAGATGATACAGGACCAAGTACTCCAGACTGAATAAGACTCTCCAGCCTTTTATTACACACATGACCAAGTCGTCTATGCCATAAATTGGCAGGAAGCGAGGTAGAGGGTTTTGACGAACAAAGAGAAGCAACAAGAGAACGTGGACGTATGGACTCTGGAAGGTGAAGATATTCCAGAAAATACAGTTTGTGCCTCCTACGACCCGCCCCAACCGTCTTGCCCGTCTGTGGATCCTGCACAATACAAGTATCAGAAGAAAATGAGACAAACAGGCCCGCCATGCATAAAGAGCTAATAGAAATTAAATTCAAGCACAATTGTGGAGCCACATAGACGGGACCAAGTGTTAGACGACCAGATGGATCATTTTGTGGGGTAATAGAGCCATACTGAGTAATGGACAATGGTTGTCCAGCAGCTGTGTAGATAGGAGGAAGAGAGGATGAAGTAAAGACAGAGGATAAAAGTGAGGCATTACAAGTCATATGAAAGGAACAACCAGAGTCAAAAATCCAGAGATCATTCATACCAGAGACTGAAGGATTAGCTGAAGAACCAGCAAAATGCATACCAGAGAGTTGTGCGGCGGATGTAGGCAGATGAACGCCAAATAATTAAAAATAAAAATAAAAAAAATAAAACATTAAACGGCTGCAAAGCAATAAGGCCAAGATTTGGCAAAAGAACGCAAAAGCGTTAAAAATTTTATTGAAAGGGAAATAGCCCTAGCTCTGATACCATGTTAAAGTAAGAGAGAGAGAGAGAATCTTGGGTAAATTTCCCTTGAATTGAATATTGAGTGTGCACATATATTTATACAAGTAGAGGAGTGTGAGGTTTGTTCTCCCAAGCAATGTGGGACTAAAACCCACTACAATACACTATTATCAACAAAAATTAATATTGGTTTTTCTATAGAGTGCCCATGGGCACTCTATGAGAGAGGAGAGAGATAGAGAGAAATGAATTATGCACAGAAATTAATGCAAATCAGAGGGGGCTCATGGTCATTCATTTCTCTCTATCTCTCTCCTCTCTTATAGAATGCCCATGGGCACTCTATAGAAAAACCGAATTAATATTAGCGTGGGGTTGAGAAAAGCCTTCGCATAATGTACAACTCAAAAGGATGGTAAGCCAAATAAGCCGCCCCAGCGCTTCCATTAATAAAGGAACAGACGTGTCATTCTTAAATAATGATACGAACGGTCGGTCGAGGTGCATGGTCTCTAAACAGTGAGGTATTAATTGTGCCCATAACAACAAGGTCATGCGTGTATATAGTTGCTTGAGTACACATCATGACTGCTTCCTTAGATTAATTATCATATATGATATATGATTGATTTTACTGGTAAAAGAAAATTTTTTTGTTTACCGGAGCAAATAAGATCTCATCAATCGATCTTAGCCATCATGTTTTCCTCTCAACAAACCGATTCCACGTTCCTACGTTCCTCTTAACAGAGAAACAAACGTTGATTTGGTCACCATAAGACCGAGTCAATATAACATTGCATACTTAATTTATAAATTCTACTTAGAATTAACCGGTCGTCATAAAGTAGCAGATAATTAACTAAGATTATTATGTATTGGACGGCTACATACATACATAAAACTGCAGACGATCGAGCGAGCGAACCCTGAATGTAATTATGTTTGTGAAAATTGCCCGTACGTGTATTTGTATGCGTGTATCTGTACATGTGTGTGTATGCGTGTATTTGATAATCCACCCCATCCTGAGCTAACATCACGTAACGTACTTACAATAAAATCGAGAGTATAGCCGGATATTATGTGCCGCATATCCACACATCATGCAAGAATAATTGGTTGGCCAGAAAGTCCGCTTTATTTAGCTATATATACACACTGGAGTACTATTTTTAATATTTTTTTAAAAAAAAACTTTAAAAGTTAGATACCTAAGTACAATTTAGATTTTTAAAGCCCCCGTCGATCAATTTTACATCCTAAGCATTCTATGTTGTCGCAAACAAACTTGCCACTCATTTTGTCCATTTTCATGCTCAGTTGATTTATGAGCAAATGAATTAATTTTAAAAAATTTGAGTTTATTTCTATATTAACTATCACAATAACCTATTTAATTGTAAGTTTTCATGATCTCCCATTAGGACAAATAATATATCACTAATTGGGTAGGCATTTCTCAGTCTCATATTGGATAATTTCATTCCTTTATATCTAACAAAGGCTACAACTAAGGAAGTTGATGGTTAATAAAATAGCCTTTGATAGAGAGATAATAATCCCTATCTATCGGCAACACAAGGCAAATCTTCAAGGAAATTTTGTCCTACATTTTGAATGCACAGTTTGGCTACATCTTGATGTTGTGTACCTAACAAACTTATTTTATAGGAAGGATATATAAATATTTCAGTATGTCAATTAATTTAAGGCGCATATCTCTATCTTAGGAAGCTCACATAATTAACCTTAGCACAAAAGTAACATGATATCAGCTGTTAAGTTGCGTTAAATTCAAACAACCAACACCAACTATTTTTGTCTTCCCAAGCTCTACAAAACTCAATTCCTAATACTCCTTTTTTTGTTGTTGTTGTTGTTTTTTGTTGACAAACAATTCCTATTACTTACTTCTTACTTCTTCGAAATTATTTTTCACAGGCCCAAATGTCCCATTGATCAGTAAACTGAACATGAAGTGGGGGGATCAACAAAGAGACCTTTGTAGAAAATCGTATAGGAAGAAATAAGATGATGAGACGTGTTTTACTGTTAATTCTAAATCAGTATAATCAACATGTAGTAGTAAATACAACCAGACTAGCTACTGGATTTGTGCCGTTATCAACGTTTTGTCAATGTAATTAGACTTCTGAATTATGGCGACCATCAACTTTGAAATCGGTAACGCACACTTGTCACAACCTATGTATTCACCATATATCATTTTTTATAGAGGTTCTCCATAAGATTTTTTTTGCCCCCTAGCTTGATCAAGTATGAATACTGAGCCCATGTTGGTGACCCAACCGGCTGTGGGTTGGTGGGACTTTGGATCCATGGACTGGGTCAACCACCAAGGCGTGTAGACATAACTGCCTTCATCTCTCAACTGTTATCCTCCAACCTAACCTAAATCATGGACACCTTGTAATTAATTAATTGCATAACTATTTATTAACCCCTTGCTTGATTATCATGCTTAAAGTCTTTGATGGTATTAATGGCTGATTTTAAGTGAGAGGAGTGGGAGAGAGAAAGAGAGGGAAGAGCTATTGGTTGCCGCAAATTAATTTCAAAGTCTTTTTGATGAGGAGAAAAAAATGTGAGTTGAATTTTATCAACTTTGTTGGTAAAAGCTATGGCATTGTCACTTTGGCAGTCTAGGCTTTTGTTCATGCATCGAATGAAACTTGCATTTATAGATACGGTG